GGGTGCTCGGTGCCATCGGCATATACGTGAGAAATCACAGCCCCTAGTCTATAAGAGGTCGTATCTGCCGCTAAAGTGAAAATGCGAGAGTTGAAATGCGTTCACAATTTCAGTCTTTAGCCTCTCAAAAGATTTTTGTTGCTCGGCTTTCCACTCAAAATGTGTGTTTTTAGTACGCAACATATTAATCGGCGCGGATAAAGTTGAAGAATTTGCAATAAAACTGCGATAATAATTTTCCTTACAGATGAAGGTTTCAACTTGCTTCAAATTAGTAGGCGGTCTCAAATTTTTTACGGCAGCTACTCCGGCTTCATCTGGAGAAATTTAGCTGAAATGCGTCGCCCCAGATATTCGATTTCTTCACGGAAAAAGAAGCACTTTTGCTTTTTACATTTTATGCTATTGATTTGTAAGATTTTTAACACTTGTTCCAAATTGTATAAATGTTCATTTGTCGTCGGTGCAGTCACAATGATATAATCTAAAAAATTTCGACAATCATTCGTACTTGCCAAAAGTTGGTCCAAATAACGCTGGACTATTGCTGGAGCACTGGTAATACTATAAGGTAACCGTTGGTATTGAAACAAGCCCAGCGGTGTATTTACAACCATAAAAGATTTTGATGCCTCATCCTATTCCATTTGCAAATATTCGTCGCGTAAGTCAATTTGTGAAAAATGAGTACCTTTGCGTAGTTNTGAAAAATGAGTACCTTTGCGTAGTTTATAAAATAAAGATTCGCGCGTTGGCAAAGGATACTGCTCTGCATAAATTTGCGGGTTCACAGCAACCTTAAAATCTCCGCATATTCTTAACGAACCGTCAGGCTTAGTTACAACTACAATTGGAGAAGCCCAATCACTGCATTTAATTGGTTTCCAAATTCCGGCTTGTTGTAAACGGTCGGCTTCAGCTTTAAATTTTGGCATCAACGCAAATGGAATAGTACGACTACGGTAAAATTTCGGCACTGCGTTTGGCTGTAAATAAATTTTGGCTTTACAGTTTTTAATAGTACCGGTAGCGGGCTCA